ACTTTATTCAACAACTCTTCTCCTCATCCTGTCTGCAGCGCATGGCACATTGCAGGAAGACTGGATGAGGAGAAGAGTTGTTGAATAAAGTTGCTATTTTAGTTTTCTTTGCACTTAAAAAGTTTTCTCGTAGCTTCATAAAATTACAGTTGAATCCCTGATGTCACATGGATTATTTTACCAATGTCCTTACTACCTTTTTGGACCTGGGAACATTACAGTTGTGTTGCTGTCTATGAAGGGTCAGAGAGCTCTCAGATTTCTTAAAAAATATCTTAATTTTGGTTCTGAAGATGAACAAAGGTCTTACGGGTTTGGAACTACATGAGGGTGAGTAATTAATGACAGAATTTTTGGTTTTGAGGTGAACTGGTTTTTGGGTGAACTATCCCTTTAAATCAAAAACTAAAAGTTGAGACTAATTTTATTTTGAAATGTACACTATTGCTTAAAAGTTTGGGTCAACAAGATTTTTTTATTTCTGTTTTTAATTAATACTTTTAAAATAGAAAAGTTGTTTTAAATTGCAATATTTTTTAAAATAGACTTTTAAAAACGTTCAAAAATTATTCCAACCCCAAACCTTTGAACAGTAGGCCTAATGTATTTATTATTAAAATGTTATTTTTAATAAAACTAAAATCTGTTTGACTATCATGCATATATTTATTTCTTAACTACTTATAATTATGGTAAAATTATTTAATCTAGACAATACATCTATAAAACATGTTATAGATAAATCTGAATCAGTGACACTGAATATAAGGCCCTTAAAGGGATAGTTCATCCAAAAATAAAAATTCTGTCATTAATTACTCACCCCTGTAAGATCTTCGGAACACAAATTAATTTATTTTTAAATCAACCATTTTTTTTTTTTTTTACATTTTATTAATTAATTTTACACGCATGCATCATGGTACTCTCGATTAATGCCGGAGGATGGTGACGCTAAATAGAATTGTTGAATAAAGTCATTATTTTTGTTTTCTTTTGCACACAAAAAAATATTCTCATAGCTTCGGTTGAATCACTGATGTCACATGGACTATTTTAACGTTAAAGTCCTTACTACATTTCAGTTACATTGCTCTCTTATCATCTTACCATGGTCCAGTCTACCCGCTTCTCCAGTGTTGAACATGCTAAGGGCCTCGATGTTGAGAGCACAGACCCCACGCATGAAAGCTTTCTTCATAGAGTCCTCATAGCGCTCTCGCTCCGTGTGCAGCCTGTGGATTTCAGCTTGAGCTTTCTGGAGCTCCTCTACATACTGACAAACACAATCACAAAACTTTCATGTAATGTCCAAATCCAGTAACCTATTAAACATGGAATCAATCACACTTTCAGTAAAATTGCGGTATTGGCTCCAATCACCTGTGCCATCTTGGTCTCGTAGTCTGTAGAGAGCTGCATGCAGACGTCCTCTGCTCTGGCACAACATGCTCTCTCCACACGCTCCCGCCACCTGTTCTGGATGAGTGAGTGCCAGCCTGCCCACACCTTCCTCTTGAGCTGCAAATGATAGTGCTGCTCCGCCAGTCTGCCCCCCTGAGCCTGAAACACACAGAAATACATGAACATTTATATTTTATTAAAAAAAGAAGTCTTATTATTTGATAAAAGTAAAACAGTAATTCTGTGAAATATTTTTACAATTTAAAATAACTTAAAACTTATATTGTAAAACGTAATTAGTCCTGTAATGGAAATGTTGAATTTTAAACAGCCATTACTCCAGTTTTCAGTGTTACATGATCCTTCAGAAATCATTATCAAATCATGCTGATTTGCTGCTCAAGAAATATTTATTGTTGAAAACTGACTGAAGAATTTGAATGAAGCCAGGTAGTGTGTATATAAAAATAATAATAAAAAAAACTTTCTACTACTTCGTTGAAGATTTTACCAGGACATAAATAGGCTTTTGAAATATATTTATTAATCCCAATCAGTGTTGGTAGTAACTGGTTACAGTAATAATATTACTTTGTGCAGTAACTAGTAGTGTAACTAATTACTAATATGATTTCAGTAATAATATTTGGTTACACTTTACGTATTTTAAGGTGTCCTTGTTAAAGTGTAATTATACATTTAAGTACGGAGTAATATTAATTAACTAAATGTACTTACTATATGGTTAGGTTTAGGATTAGGGTTTAGCTTAGGGTTACTTGCATGTAATTATGCATAATTTATTGTTATTATAATAGTAAGTACATGTAATATGTAACAAGGACACTTTAAAATAAAGTGTTACTTCAGATATCATCCATAAATCAGCTAGTTACCTACTTACTTTTGATTACTTAACCCCTACTGATTTGAAGTCCAACAATCCAATAATTCCTATATTTATTTCCATAATTTTCATGACTCATGAACACGTGAAGTCACCAGAGCTGCGGGCAAGCTTGGAATATGAAAAAGCTTACATTCAACAAATGGAAATATTGCCATTACATTAATTTTGTGAGAAGAAAAGATGATCTCAAAACCAATGTGTGGCATGATGGCATTATGGAAGTTGTGGCATTACTTTACTCTGAAGTCTTACTTATCCACATCCCCCTGATCCCGATATAAATTGTATTGCTAAAATTAAAAATCTTTTTAGAAAACTAAACATATTCTTACGAACTTCTGCTATTTCTTTTGATAAAACACATTATGAAATATAATTGTATTATGGGTAACAGAAAAAATTATAGCTTCAAGCTACACATGACAATTAATGAAGTTAATACAACACTTAAAAATCACCACTATCAGTCACCACTAAGTGTTTGTAATAACTTCTGACTGCGATCCAGTGTGCATTTTGGTCAAATGATGAGGCAGAAATATATTGTTAGTAACATTTCAGACTTATCCTTTTAAACGCAGATATGCTTGTGAAACTGCAATTTCTCCAAGAAAAGAAAATGAATACAAAGCACAAGCCTGTCTGAAGTATCAATCTGACGGGAGTAAACAACACTGTCTGAAAAACAGCTGCCTTGTGTGTGTGCTGTCAGTCTGAGCTTGCCCCGTCTCACCTCCTCTCTGGCTGCACACTGCTGTAGTCTCCACTGGGTGAAACTCCTCATCAGCTCCAGCTTCTCCCTCTGCCTGTCAACCGCCCTGCTCAGATTCACGATCACCTGCAGATGGCAAAGGCCAAGGAGGAGATGACAAACTGGAAAACAGAGACTTACAGCCTGTGAAAAACTGACACAGAGTAACATTTTGCACCCCATACACTGAATTTCAAAGCTTACATTTAACATTTACTAATTACTTACACTTAATACATACTACAGGAACAGTCTATTAATTATCAATATCTGTGTGCACCTCATCTTTTCTCTGGTTAGAGATCTTGTAGGTGTTGAGCAGGTCTTTCAGACCATCCATCTCAGCATTTACAGCAGCCATATGGGCTGCATGTTTCTCCCTCTCCTTCTTAAGCTGCAGTCTGTGCTGCTCCACAAAGGCCAGTTTCCACTTCCTCAGCTCCATCATCACATTACTCTGTACACAGACCAAGAAACAGTTCCTATAATGCATTATAGTATGAAGAAAAACACTACTTAACAGTGTTATTTTAATATCACTGAAATACTATTATAGTTTCATATTTGACGTTTTTTTTCCATTTAAATTTTTAGTAATTTTGTTGTTTTTATAAAAAAATGTTTTAATATGACTATATTTCTATTAATTTTATTTTAGTTTTAGTTAAGTCATTTTAGTACATCAAGTTAAACTAAATGAAAATGTTGCCTTGACAAACAGATGATTTCAATTAACATTTACTTTATTTCTCTGTTTTTTATGGTTTTCGTTTTAGTTAACTACAACTCTGCTGCTTACAATACATAATTGCAAAGCAAACCTTAAGGTTTGTGGTCCAGGTGTCCAAAATGTTCTCCATCTTGTTCAGGTTCTCCTCTGAGATGAACATCTCAGTCATGACGGTGGTCAGAGCATCAGGGCTGCTTTGTCCTGATCTGTCTGATCCAGTCTGCGACCTCGCTGATCTTTCCTCAGATGACACAGGCCTGTCTGCCATGCTCTCAGCTGAAGTAGAAGCAATATTATAAAACACATAGTTCTAGATTCTGATTGGATGAGACACATTTGAAAGCAAGAGGGCTGAGAGATTCTAATTTAAATGGCTTCATGAAGTTACCCTCGGATGTTCGACTTTGTGGTCTGGATTCTTCTAATGACGGAGTTGGCATAGCCCCGTTGTTTGAGTGCACTTCATTATCTGAAATAAAACAAAGAGTGGTTCTCAGTCGTTTTGTCATGACATTGTCAAAGACAAATTTGAAAGCCTCACAAAAGCAAGAGGGCTGAGAGATTCTAATTTAAATGGCTTCATGAAGTTACCCTCGGATGTTCGACTTTGTGGTCTGGATTCTTCTAATGACGGAGTTGGCATAGCCCCGTTGTTTGAGTGCACTTCATTATCTGAAATAAAACAGAGTGGTTCTCAGTCGTTTTGTCATGACATTGTCAAAGACAAGCCTCACAAAATATTTCAGATACTTCTGCTATTATAAATTATTTTTTTTTTTTTACAGAAACAAGGTGTTGCAATATAGTAAAATAATTCAGTAAATTTATTATATAAACAATCAAAATAATTAAATTCCAATAACAATGTTCTACATGGTTTACACTTTTTATTACCAGTAAATTTACATGACTCATTTACATGCGATTAACAAGTTGTTGTTTGTTTACTTGCAAATATCAATTTCTACCTGATAAAACATTTTAGAGCTTTATAAAACATTTAAATTACTGTAAATGCTAAAAGTAGCTCATAACTCGCCGATTTAGGAGAAAATCTTAAAAATAATGGCCGTGTCACTCCTAAATTTTTGCTCTAAGAGTATTTCACAAAGCGTTTTAGCTCTAAAACAAGCTCCTAAATCTGTGAAAGGTTAGGAGTAGTGAAGCACAAACTATCCTAAAATGGCTGTTGCCGGCAATCTGCCTCTGAATGTAAACATTTTAAGAAACATTTGATGATAATGACCTTTTAAAAAAGGTATCGCCTTTGGTTTTTGGAGGTTATCCCAACTCTAAATTTTCCTTTGATTTTATCCTTGTTTTCAGTAACCAGTTGGGCAAGAAGTAACAGCTGTTCTAGCGTCCAGTTTATTTATTTTTTTACGTTTGCATGTGTTACTATCAGCCATGATTATTCTACTCTGTTAATTAAAAGGCTGTTTATATGCATATTCACTAATTGTTTACGAGAAGCATACACGTAAGAGGCTGACAATTAGCTGAACGTATACTTGTTTAATTAGTGACACTTAGCCTGCAATTTAAAATCTTTATTTGAATGTGGCAACATTTTTATTTTTAAACCTTTATATGAGACAACATCGTGCTCTACAATATTTCTATGAATAAATCTGTGACAGAGACTATCAGCCAATCACTGTGTGCATAGTTAGTGAGTATGCTGACTTCATCCATAGCAACGAGATCAACCCCACCCTTTACTCTTAGCTTAAGACTTCTCTCTATTCCTTACTAAAAGTTTGTCTCAGCAGCTTTGTGAATAGGTTTTAAGAGAAAAATCTTAGCTAAAAACTTTTACTGCTATTTAGACGAACACTTAGTGGCTGGCAAGATAAAATGTTTTGTGAATACAGGCCCTGCTCCCTAAAGGGAACGAATTAAGAAATTATTTCAGCTTCAATCTGTTCTTCCGGCCCCTTTGGATGTGTGCTGAGATCCCCTAGCGGGCGCCGACCCCACAGTCAAGAAAAACTGCTTTAAATCTACAGACCTCTCAACCAAATAATTACATGCAACATTGGTGTCTGCAATTTGGAATTATATAGCATTATTATCTCCTAAATATGCATTATATGTTAGTAAGGGGTCTACCTGCAGTGTGTTGAGCAGGTGTTTCTCTTTTAGTCGTATGCTGTAAACTCTTGGAGAGTTGAGTTGAGCTCAACGGCTGTGATGGGAAACTCGGTTCATATTTAGGAGTCACGACAGCATATCGAAGAAGTTCTTCATACTCGTCCTGAAAATTTGAAAGAGAAGGAACAAAGTCAAAGCATCCTTTAAACTGTCAAAAATGACAGAAAATCTGAATCATATACCTTAGTGATTTTTGTGATGGTGGCTATGATAACTCACCTGAAGCACAGAGGAAACGGAGCTGCCTCGGTCTGAATCTCTTGGTAAAACTGGACTATTGTGCTCCCCTTCATCGGATGACATCTGAAATACAGAATGAATCAGGTGGTGTTATATATAACAATGTTTAAATGACTCATTTAAGTTCAAATAGGCCAAAAGAACCAATTCTTCTTAAATGCAATAACTGTATTGCTTTGCCAGTCTACTTCAAAACGGTTTAATCTTCTATAACTCCAAGGTATCATTGTTAAAACACCCTTAAAAAGAAACTGATTAAAACAACTAGATCTATCAGCTAAAAGTTTTACATTCAACATACTACTAATAAACTACCACTAATGTATTTATAGAAGCATTAGTTGAAAATCTAACGAACAGTGCAAGGTTTTTGTTTATTTGAGCAGCAGCAGAAGCAGTGATTTCTCGACAGTGGTTTTCTCGAAGTAAGGAAACTTAGCAACGTTTTTGTTTGCTAATGTTCATATAATAAAGTCAAATATTGAGTCAGTTGTCACGCAGGTAGACATAAACAGCCAGTCCCAGAACCGAAGCAAACTAAGTTCCTGCTGTACGTTAGTTAGCTTCACAGCGCTGTGTTAGCCTCTTGCTGAGTTCCTAAGCTAAATCTGCTAAGCATCATGTGTGGTAGAGAGATAAAACAATACGATCGTTACCTTCTCAGTGAGTGTTTTAAAGGTATTTGTTCCTCTGTAACGCAACGTAATCCTTCAATCTGTAAGTACCCACTCTACTGTTTAAAAGCACTGTTTCAAACTGCTAGACGCTGCAGTAAAAGCAGTTTTGATTGGTTGAAAATTTGGCACGTTTCTCTTCGCTTTTATGATTGGTTAGAATGTTTCCGTAGTTACAGGGACGCGGAAGCGTCTGTTGCATTGTTCTTTTGATATTTATTTAGTCATCTATCAGACGCTTTTTTCCAAAGCGACTTACAAACGAGGACAACAGATGCAATCAATTGTAGTATTAAAACAACTAAAAACAGATCCAAAGCTAAAACGTTATAAACACTACCTATACACATTTTAAAAATAAAGCGATTACATAAAAATGACAAATGCATACAACAAAGTTTCAAAACTTAACATTTAAATGAAAAACAAAAAATAAAGCTAAAAACAATTCAAAATGTTAAAGAACAAAAGGTATACGAGTATAATAATGATTCTAACTTAACACTTAAGCCAAACACCAAAAAAAATAAGAACTATACACCTTTTTCTTGTCGTAAAAATGGGCGCGGCCATTTGTAAATTC